ACCACATAAAATACCTTTTTATAGTGACTGTTCAAACAGATTGCTACTTCTCCACCCAAAGATATTCAAAACCAAACTAGACACAATCCCAGGCAATCTGCTCCAGCTGACCTTGCCTGACTGTAAAAACATCATACTGCCTTCCAAGAACAAAAATATGCTAAGCATGAATAAAAGGAACCTAAAAGAAGATAAAAAAAAAAAAAAAAAAAAAAAAGGAAAAGGCAAAAGTTGTGTTCAAATGAGCAAAATAAACCCTGTATCTGGCAGGTTACATAGAAAAACGTAATAAGCATATTTAAAAATCAGACTGATCTGAACACAAAAAAATCCTTTTTTGGGAGCAGGAAGCCTCATTCAAAAAAACCCTGCAGAATTGAAAGATGCAAAATATAAAATTGAAAGTTTAGGACCCTTTCTATTACTTTCCATTACTGCTACTTGGGTAAAGACTTCAAATTCACTAAATATTCACTTAGTCGACGAGGTATAAAAATCTTCTTTCACTCCAAAGGCCTAAACAAAATACAAGTCTTGGTAGTGACAGAGCCAAAATTTCAAAGGCTGACTGAAGAGAAGTAAGAACTGATTCTGTCTAGCAAGGAGAAAGCACCACTTAAACTACCTGAGTTTGATTTGGTGTCGTGTCTTACTGTTAGCAGTTTATTTCACAATTACCCATCAGTAACAGGCATTTGATACGTGCCCTTTAAAGTGCAAAGAGGACAAGACATATTGCTCTGGATTACAATTAACTACTTTCAATCATGAAACAGAAGGTATTCCTAAAAAAGAAAAAAAAGAGAGGATGTTCAAAAATAGAGGTGCACCCTGCTAATTTAGTTAAAATCAGTTGAGAGGTACCACAGGCAGAGACTGTTCTGAACTGTAAGCATGCACACAAGGTCATGACAGACCAATGGTCCTAGGCCCATGTATGTTCCATTGTCAAAGAACTGCTGTTTCCCTTGTATTTGTCTGAGACAGAGTAAGTCCAGTCTGGATAGGTTTTAGACATCTTGTAATTACAAATTTAAGTTGCAGTGCAAATACAGTACAAATGAGAACCATATGTGGTCAGTCTCATTCCTCTCTGATAACATTCTCTAATCTTTATCTGTTACCCAAAAGATGAACTGATGAGACAGACTGTACAGGACATTTCCTTTAGGTTCTGACTGAGACATGAATAAAAGTAACACCTAAGATACATACATGTTAACTGATAAGAGTAAAAAAGAAGTACTCATCACACATTCTACCAGCTCCAAAACATTACCAAAACCAGTATGTGTCCTTGTTATTTCCTGTCACTGTGCCAACAGCTTAACAAAATCTTTGTCAAAAGCAATCCAGATTAATAAATCAAACATTTAACTATTGTGTACAAGACTGTTTTATACAGAGCTTCTTTGACGTAATATCAGAAAGGCAAAAAAGTCCAAGCCATGAATACAACTTAAGTAACCTTAAGAACTCTGCCTCCCTTTACTGCCTGCTAAGGTTTTTCTTAACACACAGATTAGATATTAATACACAATCAAGTCATCACTACCATATACTCATAAAACATTCAAAATAGATTTCACCTTTATTTAAAACAATTAGTTAATGCTAACGCTATGGTAAGAACTCATGACAACACATCAATATATAAAATTAAGAATATCCATATAATATAATATTATGGACAAAAATGTTATAACATCATAGTTATAATTCTAAACTAATTTATATTAATATAACTTGTGTTACGCGTTTATGTTAGTATATTGATACATAATAAACACTGAAACACTAGGAGATTGGGGTTTTTTTTGTAAACAAACACATCTGAAATCAAAAGCAATGCCTGTTGTAGCATGTTCCTTATACAAGTTTATGAATACTAGTAGATTTACCTTGTACTTTTAATGCTAATTGATAGGAATTACATAGATAGCACAGGCGATACAGAATTACTCCTTGTTAAATTTCAGAAATGGCAAGGCTCAGATAACCTTTCTGCAAGCTATCAGCATATACAATCTATCAACATACAAATGAAGCCTGAATTCTTAGTTGGGAAGAAAATTCACAGAAATAAGATTCCATTTGAAAAATGGACTTAAATTCACCATCTCAGAATAAGATTATTTGTTAACTGTGCCTTTTTCTCCCCCAATTCCTTTCAAAGGATAGTAAGTACCAATACTACGTATGGGGAAACACATGGTACCTGCCACAATATCCATGGTATTTGAAGTTACCATCTTCAACTCTGAAGCATAACTATTAGCTTACTTAGATTTAAAAAAAGACTATGGTATAGAGTCACAATCTGCATGAACAGAATATTTTATCAGCCACCATATCTGTTTGCTTTTACCAATATGAACCAGATTTTTATTATCTTCTCTTAATAAATGGGAAAAACTCTGAAAGAATCCACACAGTTCCGAGTAACATTATCAATAGACATTTGAACTTTATGTAAACTTGATATCTGGTCAATTCTGTTTGTAGAGGTCATGAAGTCTATCTCTGATTCTCCAAATGCCATACAAGCATTAAATGCATTAGAATGAAAATCTTCACCTCTCTAGACTGGCCTCCCTTTCTTGGTCTCCTCTCCCTTCCAAGTTATTAGGCTGTTTGGAAGTTAATTTCCATTTTGTAATGTGATTTTCATTGTATATGTTTCAGGAATAGTACCTTCTTGACTGGCATACTGTTAAATATTTTTGAAAAGTTCGTGTTATGAACTTTCACACTGTATAATTAAGTTATAATATAAACTGCATTTTCAGCAAATTTTGGAGGTTTGAAGTTCAGATGTCAACACAGCAACTTCAACAGATCTACGAGTTCAAACTCGGATGTAATGCAGAGCAAGCTGCTTGAAACATCAATGAGGTATATGGCCAGGGAAGTGTTAACGAACAGACAGTGCGACTTTAGTTCCAAAAATTTCGACGTGGCAATTTCGACCTTGAAGATCAAAAAGGTCGTAGACGTCCTCCTGCTATTGACGATGATGAACTGAAGGCTCTAGTGGAAGCAGATACATGCACAACTGCTTGAGAACTTGCAAAAGAAGCTCCAAAGCACTTCCCAAAGCCCAATCTGCACCAAAAGAAGGTCATGCTGACTGTCTGGTGGTCTGCTGCTGGTTTAAGCCATCACAGCTTCCTGAATTCCAGTGAAACGATCACAGCGGAGAAGTACATCCAGCAAATCAATGAAACGCACCAGAAACTACAACAGCTGTGCCCAGCACTGGTCAACAGAAAGGGTCCAATTCTTCTCCACGATAACGTGCGGCCACACATTGCACTTTTGACGCTGCAGCGGTTGAATGAGCTGGGCTACAAAACTCTGCCTCACCCACCGTACTCACCAGACCTCTCACCCACCAACTAGCACTTCTTCAAGCATCTCAGCTTCCTGGGTGGGAGACACTTCAGAAACCAAGGGGAAGCTGAAACTGCCTTTGATTGACTTCATGGCCTCCAGAAACCCAGAACTTTAAGCAACCGGAATAAATATGCTTGTTTCTTGTTGGCAAAAACGTGTTGATTCTAATCGTTTTTATTTTGATTAATAAATTTTATTCTGAGCTGAGATATGCCACTTCAAACATACTGGTTGAAATTGGCAATTAATTTCCGAACAGCCCGATAATAATTCAGCCTACCTACTCTTTTTCTTGCTTTACATGTGAAGCTGTTTTTTTTGCTTTGACTGCAAAACAAGTCCATAAGCCTGCTCAACTTAATACTAGACCATAATGCACTAAGACAAATTAAAAACCATCCATGAAACAGATTTTCATTTACCTGCAATGATTTATCAATGTCTTTCCTATTTCCCAGTACTACTTAAAACTACATTTTCTACACAAAATATTTAACTGCCCTTGATCCTAAGTCTTCTATATGTCTGTTCCAATGAACCATGTCCTACACTAAGTCTTCCTACAGATACAGTAATTCTCCTTTCTCATAAAGAAAACTACACTAATACATGAAGAGTCCATTTTAAGGAATATACTCCCAGAACAATGATACTACACACTAAGTGTGGGACATGACAACACTAAATCAATCATTTCTTAAGTAAAAAGAAATTTCACTTTAGTTCCAGTTTAATTTTAAAATCAGTTTCACTCATATTAGGAGTACCCATACACCCTCTTCTGCAAGGATGGAGGTGGCAGACTGGATCTATTTGCTTTTAATTCTTTTGCATCAGAAGAGGATAATGTTAAAGGAATGAGGAAAGCTAATGAGGAGAAAGAAGGTTACAGTGAATTCACCAAGGAGATTGCCAATAAAGACTGGTCATCTATTCATCCCTAAGAAGGCAATCATACATCTTACTGTCAGTTACATCATATGCATTTCTGCAGAAAATACTACTCCTAAACTAACTATACACAAGTTCTTAAATGAAATAGGAAAACAAAGCAATGATACTCAGCTGACTTCAGCCACATGAAAACTTCCCACATCCCACAGTTCCACATTTTACTTCTCAGAAGCTATAATACCCATCTAAGTATTTTACTCTAAAAATTCAATTAGACAGCTCAGAGACTTGCTCAACTGTCAGAGATGACTAATATTCAGTGAGATCTAGGGGTTCCAAATTATCTCCAAAATTACTGGAAACAGATTTTTCAGCTTTCAATAGAATTGAACATATATATATATATATAAACTAATATAAATGTATAAATATATAACATATAAACATAAAGGAATATAAGCACATTGATTAATTTCAATCATAGATAATACATGAAATTTCACGTTTACCTCCAGCAAACGTAAAAATTCTGACTCATACCTAAGTCTGCACACCGTAAAAAAACATGCACTGTAATACCATGACTCAGACAACGGTGGCATCAAAGCACAACATTAATTTTAATCTAGTGATGACTAGTAGACAAAGAAAACGCAAGGATACCTGAAATGATATGTAGAGATTTTATGAGTTGGTCAAACAAATCTTACCCCAGCAGAATTTTAGCATGAACCTCTTTGTTAGTCCTTGAGATTTCTCTCAAAGAGGTAATTTCTGCATCAAACCAAAATCCTCTTTCTTCTGGAGTCTCAACATTGTAGTTAACCATCACCACATCACCCACTTTTAGTTCACTCCACTTCAGAATGGTTCTTGCTCGGGGTCGAAGATTACTGGTGTCCATTTCTACTATGCCATTCTCTGGGTACCTTGAAAAGTAAAACCAACAACAGTAATGATTACAAGTCCTGTAACAGTAAGTAATAAGACACACGACAACATTTTTCTAAAATAAAAATTTTTAAATGTGCTTTGGGCATATAAAAAAACATAGTATACAAATCTGACCTTGTATCCTTTTAAAAGTTTAGTTTTCATCTAAACACAGACCAGGAACTTCACTAACCTCAGATGGAAGAAAACCAGTCTCCAAGATCTTTCTCTCAACAACAACAAAAATCTATAAGCACTGGATGACTTTGATTGGAACACAATCAGGTTCAAGGTTTTGGCACACACATGGCCCTAGTTTGCCCCCAGTAAAGTCAATAGTCTAATTAAAATGGCAGTCAAAAAATAATGAAGATTAAAACTACATTTTTTAACTCATCACATTTCTAATTTAGCTTTGCTTTCATTTATTTGTTACACTTCCACTAGCTTCAGTAACAATACATTTAGGACAGTTTTTTGTTAAAACTGACCCTACTAACACAGCATATCAAAGTTATGTAGTCCACATTCCATGCACCACATCTAAAAAAAAAAGTCTAATTACAAAATCTAGTGAGAAACAGAACTAAGACTCTGAAATGAGATACACGAACTAACACTTTGAAAATGTTTCTCCCTTTAAATTACAAAAACAAAAAAATCTAGAAAAATAAATGTGGGAATCACTGCTTCTCTTTATAACACACTTCTCTTAGCAAGATGTAGTGAGGAATGTAATACTGAATAATAGTTCGCTAAATCATAATTAAAAGATTTTGGTCAATTTACTTTTCACCAAAACTTGGTGACTTTTTACACAGCATTTTATATAATATTACCCAGGAATTACTAGGGTTTATAAGAGACTGCTTTCTTCCTCCTCTGTTGGTATATGCCATCACAGCACATATACAAAAATCAAACAGTAATGAGTAATTTCCAGAGAGCTCCAACTCCTCTACAAGTTGAGAAAGACTCATTTAGAAGAATTTAGTGATACCTGACAGCACTACAACTAAAATTCCAACACAAGAAAGCAAACTTTTAAGGTTTGAGATGTTAACTTTTTAGTTTAATAGCACAACCTTCTTAAATCCTCTGTATAAGGTAATCATTCAATGATAGTGGAGCCTGTATACTTCGCCCCATGCTGGAAAAACAGCCACAATATGGACATGATGGAAACTGCCTGCAGAAGAGATCTGGCCTGTTGTAAAGAGTAAGATACTAAACTAAAACAGTGACACTCCTTTCTGGTACTGTGTGTAAGCAAATAAAAAAATCTTCCAGCATTTAAACAGTACTAGATGAGGTCACAGTACAAATTTAAGAGAGAAATTAAAAGTGTCTACTACCTATAAACAGTTGCTATTAAAAGTCTTCATTCTTCTTCCTTAACAAACATTGCTGAGGATAATACATCTTAAATTAAATTTCCATCATGCGATTATTGGTATTTTGGCAAGAGCACTCATACTTTATAGTTAATATACCTTTATCAAGCAGCACATTTAAATCATAATGGCAAGATTCTACTATTACTAATAAAAGTATGGCTCTGTCATCTTCCAGCATACCTCTCTAATGAGCAAGATCATTTCAAGGTCTTGGGGAAATCACACATTGTAAATTGCTATATTAAAACATAAAGAATACCAAACTTATGGTCAATAATAGCATGAAGCTCTGATAAGCTATAGCCTAAAGTCAGGATATCTGCTCCTAAACACTGATGTAATTGAAGACGTTTTAAATTAGTTTATTTTGCTCTGTTTTATGCCTTCTGTTAAATCTAACACACCTGTTGTCTACTACAGATAATGCGAGGGGGGGGCACGCACTAGACTTGGCATTGTATCTTCAGGCATTTCTTTGTTCTCTACTATGCATCTAACTAGTGTGCCTTAAATCTGTGGGAAAATCTATCATTTTTTTTTCATTTCTAGTGTAAAAGTAGCTGCACCTTTAGATAAACCTATGGCCAAGTAAGACCCATATCCTTAAGTACTTACAACGGTTAAATCCATAGAGTGTTTTCTCCCCAAGATTTTCAGATCCTAATTATAAAAATCTGTATGACAGGTGCTTGGGATTGAGCCATTATCTAAATAACAATCTCATATGATGTAACTCTCCATTGTTTGTCATTTTTATTTGGTTTTGTTTCCAATTTGAGTGTGTACTACAAAGCTAACATTTGTTGTTTTACTTTTAGGATGATTAGCTTTCTCTTATCTAAGCTATTATAGAATTTGACTATAGCAATTCTGTACATTGTAACTGTAATATACACAAAAACAGTAAGACAGATTCATCTACAGGTAATAAGACAAAGCAAAAAGCAACTATAGAGACAATGTCTATTTTATTTAATGCCTGTATAATGACATCGCCATATAGTACAACAGGCTACTGAAATCTTAAAGACAGCTATGTTTGAGCTACTAGTCAGTTGCAGTCATCTTATAATAAAACCTTCCTAAAATGGAGAAGATGGCAAGTAGCACAGTAAATTAAGACTCAGTTTACTTCAACTCCAAAATGCAAACAGGGCTTAAACATCAGGAAACTAAAGACAGGAAAAAACCCAACCCAGACATAATTTATGTATACAGTGAAATAATCAAGTGAGAAGTACATATGAGATCAGTGGGACTGTAAAAATAACCAATACATATTAAAAAAATTGAAGTGTCACTATTAAAAAAAAACAAACCCAGAATGTGTGACTTAAATCAGTTTATGTTCATAGAAAATTAGCTTTCACCTGAAAAAAAAATTATGCTCTTCTAAAAATATAATCTCTTCAGGTTCTTTTCCTCCTGGGAGACCTCTGGACAAATATATTATTTACTTAATAACTGAATTTGGAAAAAAATAATTCTCAGATTTGTGTCATCTTTCCCACTCCTATACAGCTCAGAACAGAATCCTTCCTACTGTACTGCTGAGGAACTTTAAAGATTGCCACTGTTATTAACTACAGCTCTGTTCTTGGAAGTATCTGATGAAAGAACCCAAAGACAACTGCTTATCAGCACGACTAGAACAAGATCATTTACCAAAAAACACCCCCAAAGTCCCCTTTTACAGGCAGAAAGAAACTAACTGCTTTCCAAAGAACAAAAAGGAAGGCAGACTCTTCACTGAGTAAATTTTTTTTTTCCTTATTGTCTGGTTAGAAACTTAAGACTCAGAAACTTTGGAAGAAAAAAGAGCTTGCAAACACTTGAGACTTCCCTTATCAGAATTCATCTTTCTTTGGCATCAGGTTCCAGACATTCAATGTTCTGCTGCTGTGCCTTCACACATAGAAGCATGCTTTTATAGACATCAGTGAATGCTAGCAGATATTTTAACCATTCACATTTGTCCATAACTGACACCTGAGGCAGAACAGCAGAAACTGCATTTGTCACAAGCTTTTGAGTTAGGCTCAAAATCAGAGCTACACTATATATGTTAAGCACAGTACCACTATTCCTCATTATACTAAGTAATAAGTAAACACTATTTCCACAGTAAACTTGTGTCCTCAAATGTATCTAATGCCACAATTTACCCAAGCACGGAAAAAATATACTCACATTAGAAAATGCTGTAACCTCCATGTTTAAAAGTTTTAAACATGTTATTTGTAAAAAACCCTCATTAACTTAAAATCTACTTTCTTAAATATGCTAGACTAATATTTAAATATCATATCACAAAATGGGAATACATGGGCTTATCTACATGACTAAATGTTAAGAGAACGAATATGATCTTTTAACAAGACTGAAGAATGAAGTGAAAAATCCATTCTGGCAAGCTATAATAAAGAACTACTGTTAGACATGAGTGTTTACTGAAAGCGTTTTCTTATTTATTGTTACTTTTGAAATCCTAAAATGACCCTCAAGAGAAAACAAACATTTTCACAGCAGTGTTCTAATTAGACTAGCATAAGTTTGGTACAGTTGAAAATTATATGACACAAATCAACCTTTAAACAATTGTAGACATTTTCTTGGTTTTCAATGTTTTTCATTACACTTGGCACCTAATACTGAAAAAAGCAGACATCATAACAGTAAGCATAATCATAACAGTTTAATGAGTATCACCCATTGAATGTCCCATATTTACCATTAAGCTGTATTTCCCTGTAGCACTTCTATCTGTAAATACTATCAATAGCATAACAAGGATTTCAGATTTCCTATCTGTGTAGACAGTTTCCATAGCAAAGAATTATTCATGAAGTAAAAATTCCAGTGTTTCTCGGCTATGGTCAGTATCTGTTCATTCCTAAAATGCTCAAATACTAAAAGAGCATATTAGGTCTATGTCAGAACATAGAGAATTCTGCTAAATTTACTGAGAACTTACCACATATCCTTTCCCAGCTGCTACCAAAAAACTGGAACTGAAAAGATTAAATTCTTGAAACAAAAGTCAAGACTTCCCCATCCCTTCTCCATAGTAGTATAGTAAGGAATGTTCATGCATATGTGCAATTTCTCAAATTCTTATTTTCCCAAGACAAATTGAATGAAAGTTCAATTTATTTTCCAAAACAACAAACTCAGAGTCATTCAAAATATACACCCAGAAATGAAGGAATAGAAGGGCACAAATAAAGAAGAAAGTAAAAGGAATGACCTTACAGAGGAAATAAATTTGATTAAGTAGGTAAACCTGAATTAAAAACTACATTCACACCACCACCATCCCTCAACAATTTGCTAACTGAGGAAAGAAGCATAATTTTGATGTAGTATTTTGAGAAAGCTAATGACACTGTACTGGAAAAGCATCAAAGCCACAATATGAAGGGGTGGGGGTGGGGGAATGAAAAAAATCTCATGGATGACAAAACTTAAAGACGACCAGTAGCTCTGATAATGTGTTATTATAACTAAAAAGTTACATATTTCAAAGACAGACTGGAAGGAATAATGAGTACCAATAAAGATAAGTCAGCCACATGGAACATAAACAAGATCTTGAAAAC